CCCCCCACATGCATACATCATTATTAGCTTTTTTCACAGACTTATTGTAATGTTCGTTGAGCTATGCTTGTTATATCTTCAGACAGAGAATCCACAAATTCTTTGAATTCTGAAGCTGAAATTAGTGGCTACAACTCAGACAATAGAAGAAATATGAAAAAGAGCCTTTGTTTTTGTCTTAAGTTTTGTTGGATTTCTTATGAAATCAAACCTGCCAGTGGGAGAAGTTTTCTTCCACTCTGTCACTGTATTCATGATGTCCTGATTACATGATCCAGAACGTAATCATTGTTGTTATTACTTCCGTCCAGCAGAGGTTTTAAATAGAGCTTATAGTGCAGTCAGAAATCCTCTCCTTTAAAGGGAGTTGAGAAAGCTCAGCATAAGATTGCGCAGTCTTGGCAAAGGCCTTGACTTTCCATGCTCTGGCTAAATGTTACTAGGTGTGGAGGCCTTAGTCTTGGGGCATTGCAGAGCTGAAAACTGAAAGCTCTCTGCCTGGAGTTTTCCCGTTGAGACCTACAGACAAGAAGGGGTGAAACACGTCTGGTGGCCAGAGCTCTGTCAGCATTGTTTGTTGGGGCTTTCTTTTTTTCAATCAAACCAAGTGAACTAATCTAAGAGAGCCAGGTGCCTCCTCTGGTAGCAGCTGACAAACGAGCGTACCAACAAGACCAAACAAACTGTGACCAATGAGACTAAAGTTAATTTAGATAATGTTACAAAATAACTGTGCAAAAAATGCGCGGTGGTGTTTCAAGATGGTTACTAATTGGCAAGTTTGTTGTTTTGCTTCTGTTCTTTGTTTTTTTCCCAAGAGGAAGTTTTCAGTCACCTAATGGAGTACTTGTAATTTTGAGTAAAGTTACTGAACATCAGTCTAAACAACTGCAAAGAAAGGATTGGGTAGTGTACATTACTTGCTTGTGTTCATTGTTATATGTGTTTCTAGAGTGTCCTGACATATTTCCCACTGAGACAACAGTTGTTTTAAGACCGGGTCATTAATGTTTGTATTGTTGGTTCAGTGTGGAGGGGTTGGAGCATGTTCACACAGTGTTAAGAGAGTGACTGGCATTTTTAATCTAGCACTTCAGTGATCACATGACCATTTTATCATTTTGGGTCATCATTTTTCTATCATCAATTAAAGATGTATTAAAAAGGACACTGTCCCTTTTACTGTATCTGCACCAAAAATAGTTTAGACCCCCCAAAAAACCGTTCCTCCCGACCAAAAAGTACATTTTTAATAAGTTTATATGAAAGTGTGACCTAATTACTAAGAAATACACTTAGAGGTTGTGCATGCTAACCGTGTTATCTGTCACTGATTGTTTGAACACAGGCACACTATGGATGAAGAGGAACAGTTTGTTAACATTGATCTGAATGATGACAATATCTGCAGCGTCTGTAAGCTAGAGACAGAAACGGGGACCATGTCTTTCTGCCACGTCTGCTTTGAACTCAGCATTGAAGGTAAGGCTGTGGGCTGCTTGCGTGTTCACCAACAAAGTGCTATGGGGGGAAAAGAAAAGAGCTGCCTGCTTTTTTCAAAAAAACTTTTTTAAGTGTGACCTTTTCTTAATTGCCACACACTGTCTGTCTGATGGGATTCTGAATTTGCCTTTGTCTTAATGTCCAGCAATTTCAGAGCTTTTATCAACAGGCATGAATATATCAGTGCTGCTCTTAGTTTCTAAGACGTTTTGGATTATGTAGAATCATCCAGATTCTTCTGCGGTCATCACTTCCCATCATGGCAAATATGCCTGCACCAGTTGTTGCGATAAAGTCTGAGAGCCTTTCAGTTTTTCATCGGTTTGATGTCTTATAGGATTGCCTGTCACAGTCGCTTCTTTTATCCTCTCTAGAAACAATGTATAAGCTACATGTGCAGGGTAATGGGACTGCACGACCGAAGCCCTAAGTATGGCAGGCTGCCGTGATTCTCCCGTTTGATGTGCCACTCCAACTCAAGAGCATGTGTTTGAAGTTTTTTCATGTCTTAATTAATGAGTGGCCTATTTGAGGAAGAATAGGGAATCAAAAGGGATTGGACATGCCTCTCATTTGGCACTCGTCTCACAGATGCACAAAGGCTCTTGTTGAAGTGTGTGTATATTTTTTATCTACATATATTGTGATTGTGTATGATGTGTAAAACAGCTATAGAGGATTCTGGGAACTGCCCGAGTGCTTCTAGGATGGTATATCATTTTGAGATGGGCTGGATTGTTTTGCTCACTTAGGCTGTCTTTGCATATTCTATTTCAGGATGTTGAGTCCAAGTACTAAAAGTCTATCCCCAAATCTGAGGTGTCCTTTGGCACTGGATGTGTCAGAAAAAACCCCTCTCAGATTCAGTTTTTTGGGGTGCAAGTTTTGACATCAGCATGTGTAGCATTGAAATGGCTGTTATGTAACTGTCGGATATGCTGGGAGAAAAGGTAGAGTTTGCAGACAAGCACGTGTTTCTGGTGCAGCTAAGCATATCATTGGTCAGAGAAAAGCCTGCCAAGCTTCATGTGGCCACTTTCGGCATGGCTGATTGGAAACTAAAGCCTAGCCATGTGCTCGCTGACTGCTCATGCAGACTTAATAGCCATAGCTCCCATTCATCCTGCGCCACTGTTTGTTAAAAGAGAAGAAGCAAGGCTACAATTTACTCAACGGCAAATCTGTTAACTCTGATAAACATGAGTCTATATACACCTTCATAGTGGTGTTTATCTCTTTTACACACACACACACACACACACACACCCCAGAGCCCTTGTGTCCCAGGTCACATCAGGTCACATCATGCTATCACTATCATTCATTGGCTCATTCATGTTGGCTCTGAATATTCAATAAACAGCAGAGTCAGAATTATTTGTTTTTGTTTGTTTATTTATTTACTTTTTTGTTAGATAGAGGCCACTTTGTATGTATTACTTTCTACATGAACAGAATATTAGCAGAATTATCAAGTAAATTTATTGGTGTGGTTCAAGAAAATGCCATCACCCCAAAGAACTTTTTTTTATTTTTTTTTATTTTATGAACAAAGATAAGTGTTTTCTACAGGCCACACAACAGGCAGACTTGTAGCTGGCTGAAACTAAATGGTGACAAATGCTGGTTTCAGATGTAGATGGATAGAGATCAAGTCTTTCTGTGTCAAAAATGATATTTTCAGACCAGGTGATGGTGTGAAGATGAGCCACCACATGCACATCCTTGCACAGTCCAATTGCATCTAAGGAGAAGGGTTTATTTTTTACTTAAACGCACCACATTTGGAGAAGACTGATTTGGTACTGCACTTTTGCAAAGCTGAGTGACCATTAGGGTACACGTGACCCGAAGAATGCTGAAAAGTTTCCACAATATTCTATTTTTTTTTTAACATTTTGACCACAGCTGAACATTTTTGTAAAATCAATCAAGTTGCCCTTTTTTTCTGCAGATGTTTTTATTTAAAAAAAAAAAATGTTTCACTGCACAGTGTGGTGGTGACACTCACCACAACTTGACACTGCCACATTGTAGCTAAGCAGTAGCAAAAGAATCCACTATGAGTTACACTCAAGTATTCTTTTCAGTCCACATCCTCCCACAGATGTGATTACAGATACGCATGAAGCGGTGTTGTTCAGACATGTCCGGCAGCTGCTGACATGCTGAGTATTCATAACTGTTGTTGGATAGTGTGCACCAACAAGTCAGTAATGTTGAAACTTTGTCATTTCCAGGCGTCAGTATATTGTGTTCCCTATTTAAAGGCACTTTTGTGCGGCGTTGTTTATCACCAAAATCGCCAACGGTAGCAGCGGGTGCAGATATAAATGTAAATCCTGTTTGTGGCTAAGACTTTGTTCACAGTTTAAAGTCAAATGAATGGACAGGAAGTGCAGTCTTTGTATCTCCAAGTAGCTGTTTCCTGAGGAAATCACTTTGGCCTGCATCTGCTTGTTCTATGAGAAAGCATCAAACAAAATTTTGTACGTATTTATATACTGCTCAACCTGTACTAAGGTTAACATGTCTTATTTACAGTGTTTCCTTTCCTTTTTCTTACTATACCATCTGAGCGGTATTCTAGCCCTGAGCGTCAACACGTTGCAGCAGAGAACAAGGGGGTGACTGCAGTCCCACACCCAGAGCCAGCCAATTACTACTTATGTTCTGTGGAAGAGCTGTTTCATGTTATAAGAATGTGCATATTTCAGAGGAAGTTTTATAATTAGGACATCTTTATAACCGCTCAGACTAACCTGTCAATAACCAAACCCAGAAATGCCAGTGATACCAAAGATTATAAGATGACTAAGAGAGCCAGAGGGAGGGCTGGGCCATATTATAGTGTTCACGATAATACCGGTACAATGTTAGGCAACGATAAGAAAATGAAATATCGCGATAGAATGGGAGTAAAACGCGCATGCGCAGTGCCTTTGTTTTCATACGCACATGGCCGATTGTTGAGTGAAA